TTAGTAATGCATAAGCAGCTAAAGACACTCTATCTTCATAGTGTTGGAGTTCTGTTGTTATGAGCTGACTGGCTCTTGCCATTGTCCAGTGTCCATCATCAAAGCAGGCTTGCACTGAAGTGAAGTGGGTTTAGACTGAAGTGAAGTGAGTTTAGACTGAAGTGAAGTGAGTTTAGACTGAAGTGAGTGAGGTGAAGTGGAGAAGTGGTGCTTTTACCCCCTTGATACCTCCCCTTAATTAAGAGAAATGCCCTGGAATAGTTCGAAATTTAACTCAGGCAAATGGTCACGCCACTGAAGATATTGCTTGAGAAAAAATACCCACAGCGAAAGAAGAACAAAATAAAAGATAATCTGATTGATTTCGTTGTTCGAACTATGTAATGCTCGGCGTGAATGGTAAGGAATCCACTGCCCATTAAGGTAATAGAGCACATCAATTGTTCCTTTCTGTTGATGCCGTCTGATGGCAAACACTTTTGGACCTAACGGAAAATGAGAGCGCCGGCACATTCCTGCCCAGTGAGGGCTGATTCAGCGGCGATGATAGAAAACAGACTCAGAACACCGACTGTAGTGATTACTGCTCCGTCAAGATTGTAATTGTAGGTGAACTGACACAAATAGCCGCTCATCTTTTGATCTGCAATGAATTCTTCATTAAATGTTCTTGAAATATTAATTAGATTGTCTTCTGCGATAGATACTGTTTTTTCTCCTTCGGTTCTGCAATCTAGACAATAGTTCTGCTCTATAACACTTCTTATATGACCATTTTAGACGTGTAGAAAATGCCAAGAATTGAAATTTGCAAGCGTTTTTCCCATAGGTATAATTTTGATACCAGGAGAAAGAGCATGGAGAACTAAGTATGTCTGCGTCAATTTAGCAATGGTACAGTGCTTCAAAAGCTTTAACTAGATTGAAAAACTCCATTTTTTCCCTGCTACTGTGAAAACATTAGGATTTTTGAAAAAGCATGTTTTTTTCGAGGCTCATTTTTATATCAGTCGAAAGAGCGTGAAAAACAGGACATGTCTATGCATCTGTCGCATTGGATCACTCAATGCCGACGAGACTATACTGGAAAATACTTTTTAACCAGCTCAGTTTTTGCTATTTTCTGGAGTTTTTTGTGCTACTTCGATCTGAAGAGCCGTTTTTTTCGAACTTTTCGATACAGGTTCTGAAAGCTGGAGTCCCGGCGAGTAAGAACATGTGCGTTTCGAGGTTCGGTATCACTTACCTGAGGATCTGGATTCAGGATGAATGAAAATGAAACTTTTCCACCATGTTTCAATTTTTTGCAGTTTTTTGACCAAGAGGTTTTGTTGCATTTTTCTTCCTGTCCCCCCTACGCAGCCCTACGCTCAATGATTGTATGGCCCAATAATCGTGGTATGGACGATTTGGTGCAATGAGATCCTGTGTTAAGCAGATATGTTGGTTATGTGGATGGTACCCGTCACAGAATTCAACGTCTGTGGCCAAATAATTACACGTTCTCAAAAATTCGAGTTTGAACCTAATTTTCGTGTTTTTTAACACTACTTTGAACTTACTATTCTATATTTTTCTCGTCCTTGTGTGAAGCATAGAAAAGAAAGAAACAAAGATGTACAATGTGAATGTAATCTAACATTGCATATTTTAACGTCGGAATAAGCAATATTACTTCGAAACGCTGAGCTGTCTTATTAAATAAATCGAAGGCACCTGCTTTGTTCCACGAAAACTACTACAAATGGAAAATGAAACAAGCATCGAAAAGAAAGAAGCATCAATCCTTCATGATCCTCAACATGGTCAAGCAAAAGATCTCTATTGGGCATGTCGAAAAGGAGATATCGACGCTGTTCAACACATTCTTTCATCAACTCCCTATACTGATATCAATTGTCTTGAACAGAATGGAAGTACAACATTACATGCAGCTTGTTTCTTTGGTCATAGTGACATTGTTCCACTCCTTCTTCATCAACATGGTGTCATGAGATATTGACGAAATCGACATGGTCTCACTGCATATGAAGAAGCATCCACTGATGAGATTCGTCAACTCTTTCATCGTCCATCAAACTCACAACGATTCTCTAGTGATATGACAGATGGTGCTCACCATATGTTTACTTCATCTATCGACGAAGAAGAAGACAAGAAGGGGGACAATGAAAGGGAACCTCGCGGCTGGGTTAATAGAATCACCGAAGAAATTGAAATTCGTTATCAAAAAGCGGTGATAAATCTGTTTAGAAAGATAATAACCTCACGGATCCTCGATGGTTATTCTACGGCAAACAAGATCCAGATGATCTATACGACGAGAGTTCATCTGTGAAAGACCTACAAGATCTTATCCATGAGCATGTCACTTCATCGCATCATGAATACAATAAAGCACGTGAACTTGTCTCCAAGTATGCAAAAACAAAGAAAGTGAAAGATCTCTTGCGTCTCTATTCACTTGAAACACCGTTCTACAAAATTATCGGTTGTGGTCGTAACAAGTATTGCTTAGGGATTCCGCTATATTGTAAACTTGACAGTCTGCAAAGTCGTGCATATCAAGGACGCTCATTTCGTGGTTTGACAATGATTAAAGCAAGTAGTCAACACACAATCTATCTTGAAAATGTTTTGAGTGAAGGAGGCCTTTTCACTCTGATAAAATATTACTGCAGTGCTGCGTGGAAATTTCTCGTTTTTTACTAAAAGTACGGCGTTTTTGTAAACTACTTTTTCCCCTTAAAATCATATCAACAAAAGACAACAAGATATGCATTCGAAGCGTTTTTTCACGTTCTATCCGGTGAAGTGGTTCGCATCGCGAATAGAAAACGTTTAATGATAGAAAAAAACAGCTTTTAAAGCCGATTTTCCTCGTTTTTCTGTTGAAGTTTGAGTACATGCTGCACCATTCTACGGGAATGCAGTACGTGGGATAACATATATTTCGCATGTACTCGATGTGGGCTATTAGAAAAACAGGTTTTCGCCAAGGGCCAAGAACCTTCGAAAAGTTCTTGTTTTCGTGCATTAAATGTTTTCTAACCTCAATTTTAACCATTGCATCGGATAGAGCTTGAAAAGACGGGGCGAATACATATCATGTTATCTTGTGTTGATATGCTTTTATGGAGAAAA